GAAACGTCAGCCTTCCTGCTCCTATGATGCTGCTTGGCCTGCTGTGTTCATCCAGCTCTACACCTTGTTATCTCAGATTTTCCAGCATCTGCAGTTCCTACCAACTCTGACCAATAAGAGTATTTCCAATTGCAGCTTCTAGGAATTCCAGTCAATTCCTACTCTATCAGTCTTTCCTCAATCATTAGCAAAGTGTAGAAACTTGATGTAATGGTGAGATCAAATGACGCTCATTGAGAAACAACCTGCTCAGCAGTACGCAATTTGTGTCTGCTCGAGCACTAACAATGAGAAAGGACTATAAACAGATATAAATTGATTCAGTGATTGTGCAAGATGGTAACAGATGGAGTACAATATAAGGAAATGCGAAATTATCCGCTTTGTGAGGAAGAATAGTAAAGTGGAATTATTTTTTAAGTAAAGAGATGTTAAATGTGGAATGCAGAGGGATGTATGTGCCCTTAAATGCAAATCACAGAAAATTAACATGGGAGCTCCAGACGGAAAGTAGAATAGGTTTGGGGGTTTAACACCATCTTCCTGCAAGGACTCACCTGAAGGATTATGAATAGTTTTACTTTTTATTAACCTAATAAAGTTTCCTTTAGATGGGGTACAATATTTGGTCATGCTTAAAACCCTGAGGAACAAACCCAATGGAGATTCCAAGGACTTACCTCAGCATTCACCCAAATCCTTTTCTTTGGGATGAATTGATAACAATAACCATTATAATACCAACCAGTGTAACAAAAGTCATTCTGGATAAGATCAGTTGTGTCAAACATCCATTTAGGTTGTTTCTTTACGTCCTGCTCACTTTTCTCCAATTCGTTATCCACAGGAACATCATCTGCAGTTAAAGGGAATTGCACTATAACAAGTTGTCATCATAAGAACAAGCAATCCCCCTACATTCACAGTTTAGTTCAGAATCGAAGTATCAGAATCACAGAATGATAAATCACAGAGGGAGGCCATTTGGCACACAGTGCCTGTGCTGGCTCTTTTAAAGGAATGTCCAATTAAACCCACTGCTGCTGCTATTTCTCCATGGTGCAGCAGCTGTTTCCTTATCGATGTACATTGAATTCCCTTTGAAAAGTTATTACTGAATCTTCTCTATCCTCCTTTTAGACAGTAGCCCCACCCCAAGCATAACAATTTACTGCATACCATAAAATTCTCCTCATCTCATCTCTAGACCCTTTGGAGGGGAACTTAAGGGTGATGGTGTTCCTGCATCATTTGCTCTTGTTCTACCTGTCAACAGAATTTGCAGGTTTGGAAGGTGTTATCAGGGGACAGCTTTCTCTCTAACCTGCATAGCTGCGTACCCACTTGGAGGTTCCACATACATCAATCGGTGTTAGTGAGTTGCTGCAGTGCATGTTCTAGATGGCACACACGGCCACCTGTATATCATTGGTGGAGAGAGTGAATGTTAATGGTGTCAATTGAATCCACTTTGTCCTGGAAGGTGCTGAGTTTCTTATCTCCTTTTTGGAGCTGCATTCTTCCAGGAAAGTGGAGTGTGTTCCATCACTCCTCTGGCATATGTCTTGTGGAGAGTGGACAGGTTTTGCGGAGTCAGGAGGTGTGTTCCTCGCTGCAGAAACCCCAGCCTCTGACCTGCTCTTGTAACCATAGTAATTGTCAAGGTCAGTTTCTGAACAACAGTGTAGGATGAGGCCATCTGCGATTACATTTGCAATTTTATAATTTTGTCGTTTTACTTCAGCCTTGTTCTTGTTTTGAAAATAACATCTTAACCAATATGGAGTCTTTAAAAATCATTTCATACACCTTGATCTAAAGTTGTCTGATCAAGTGAAGAATCATGTAATCAATGTAATCAGTGGTAAGCAGCTTTAATATTGTTCATTGTGAACTTGATTTTATCCCCCCCCCCAAGGAACTGCTTTGTCTTGTTATTTTACACTGATCAAGGCAAGATGTTCACAACTGTCATTTGATCTAAACTAATGTTCATTTTTTTCTGACAAGAGGATAAAAGGTAAAACTTGTTTGTGCTACATGTTCAAACAGACAGCAATTCTTGGGTATCTGATGACTGTGGAGCTATAGGCTAGTCTTGTGAAGAAGTCAGGTGGAATGGAGTCAGGAGATGGAGTTTAATTGCTGACAGTATGACCAAGGTGAGGATATGTAAACAACTCATGGCCTCATTATATCTGTGTGGAGAGTTACCAAGAGCTCATGGAAACTCTGAATGGAAACCTTGAAAGGGTGGAATGAAGCTAAAGATTTGCCTTAAAGAGTACACAACTTCCATGATTCACTGCAGTTGTGTGGTTCTAAGTCAACCACTGAAGACAACATAAGAAAGGACATTGATAGAGTTACCGACCAGAAGGTCTGTCACAGTTAAGATCATTCTGTGACTTGATGAGGTATGTAACAAGGGTTGGTTTATGATTTCAGGTTTTGGTCATTAATTTGGAATTACCTAACTATTTTGTTTGTGGATATACAACTTGGAGTGACTGTTTGTGCTTTGATACAGTTGCTTTCTTCCTTTCTTCTGATATGTATAAATATTACTTCTAAATCCTTTCTTTCTTTCAATAAAATAATTTTTCCTTTTTGTTGTATTATATTTGCTTTCATTACCATTGTGCTATTACTACCATTCAACAAAATTGTTGCTTTAACATATTGCCACACGTTGTCACTCATTTCTGTTACATCCAGATTATGGTCTAAATGTAAGTGAGACGCAGGGAGGCTCACCTTAAAAAAGTTGATATTGGGGAAATTCAATGGTGGTAATGATACTGAATGTCAAGGTGCAATGATTAGATTCTCTCTTGTTGGAATGGTCGTTGCTTTGCATTTCTGTGGCATGGATGTTACTTGCCACACATGAACCTAAGCCTGGATGTTGTCCAGGCCTTTCTACCTATGGCCACAGACTGAATCAGTATCTCAGGGTCACAAATGGCACTGAATATTGTCCAACGATTTCAACCGACACCCTCTCCTTGTAAATCTTTGGTGAATTTCTGCAGTACATCTTGCAGATAGTACACACTGCTGCTACTAAGTATCAGTGGTGGAGGGAGTGAATGCTTGTAGATGTAGTGCCAATCAAGCGGGCTGCTTTGTCCTGGATGGTGTCAAACTTCTTGAGTGTTGTTGGGGCTGCACTCATCCAGGCAAGTGGGGAGAATTCCATCACACTCCTGACTTGTGCCTTGTAGATGGCGGACAAGCTTTGAGGAGTCAGAAGGTGAGTTACTTGCCGCAGTATTCCTAGCTTCTGGCCTGCTCTTGTAGCCACTGTGTTAATGTGGTGAGTCCAGTTGAGTTTCCGGTCAATGGTAACCCCCAGGAGTGGGGGGATTCAGTGATGATAACACCATTGAATGTCAAGGGACTGTGGTTAGATTGCCTCTTCTTGGTGATGGTCATAGCCTGGCATTTGTGTGGTGCGAATGTCACTTGCCACTTGTCAGCCCAAGCCTGGATATTGTCCAGGTCTTGTTGCATGTGAACACGGACTGCTTCAGTATCTGAGGAGTCACGAATGGTGCTAAACATAGTGCAATCTTGGTGAACATCCCCACTTCTGACCTTATGCTGGAGGGAAGGTTATTGATGAAGCAGCTGAAGATGGTTGGGTTGAGGACATTACCCTGAGGAACTCCTGCAGAGATTTCCTGGAGCTGAGATGATTGACCTCCAACAACCACAACCATTTTCCTATGTGTCAGGTATGACACATGACAGCTGGGGATGTGTGTGTGTGGGGATCAAAGGAAAATACTGTAGATTCTAGAAATCTGAACTAAAAAACAAGGTGCTAGAGAAATTCAGCTGGAGGAAAGGTCACTGATGAAGCAGTGGTTGGGCCTAAGACTCTACTCTGACAAACTCCTGCAGAGATATCTTGGTGCTGAAATGACCAACCTCCAACAGGCACAGCCATCTTCCTATGTGTTGGGCATGTCTCTAACCACCAGAGAGTTTGCTCCCGATTCATATTCATTCCAGTTTTGTTTGTGGCCTTGATGTCAAGGGCAATCACTCTCACCTCACTTCTGAAATTCAGCTCTTTTGTCTATGCTTGAACCAAAGCTGTAATGAGGTCAGGAGCTGAGTGGTCTTGATGGAACACAAACTGGGTGCCACTGAGCAGGTTAGTGCTGAGCAGATGCTGCTATATAGCGCTGTTAATGACACTTTCCGTCACTTTACTGATGATCAACAGTAGACTGATGGAGCGATAATTGTCTAGGTTGGATTGTCCCTCTCCTTATGTATAGGACATACCCGGGCAATTTTCTATATTGCTGAGTAGATGCCAGTGTTGTATCTGTACTGGAGCAGCTTAGCTGGGGAAGCGGCAAGTTCTGGAGAACAAATCTTCAGTGCTATAGCCAGAACGTTGTCAGGGCCCATAGCCTTTGCAATATACAATGCTTATAACCATTTCTAGATGTCACATGGAGTGAATCAAATTGGCTGAAAACTGGTATCTTCAATTCTGAGGACCACTTGAAGAGACCGAGATGGATCATCCATTCAGCTCTTTTGGTCAAAGATTGCTGCAAATGCTTCAGCCTTATCTTTTGCACTGATGTGCTGGGCTCTTCCACCATTGAGGATGGGGATATTTGTAGGGTTCGGTGAGTTGTTTAATTGCCTGCCACCATTCATGACTGGATATAGCAGGACTCCAAAGCTTAGATTTGGTCTGTTGGTTGTGGGATCGCTTATCTCTGTCTGTCACTTGCTGTTTATGCTGTTTGGCGTGCAAGTAGTCCTGTTTGGCTGCTTCAGCAGGTTGACAGCTCATTTTCAGATATGCCTGGTGTTGCTCCTGCCACGCCCTTCTGAACACTCCATTGAACTATTTGGTGCAAAGATGATAAAGTCCTAACTTCCTGTCCTCATCAGTGAGTTGCAGCCTCTTCTGAAATTAAAGGTGAATGACACCATCTTTTATGTTCCCTTCTATGTAACTGTCCCTCCACCCCAAATAATCATTCAACATCCCCCCATTTCTGTTCCACCACTTTATCTAAATGTTTGTGTCTCCAATTTACCCCCAGAGCCCATGGCTTTATGAGTTTCAATGCCCATCTTGGCCATACACGCCTCTTATGTTGAAGCTGAAGTGATTGTGACAATCCCATCTCTCACAGCTTCCTGGTCCCTCCATTTTGTTTATGAGATTCCATCCTTTTATCTTGAATTGCCTACTTTCACTAACATCTTTCCTTCAATGATCCATCCCAATGAATCCATCTCCAGCCTGGAGCTTCCTATTTTCCCAGGATTTCACAGACTGCCACCTGATATGCACCGAGACCATTTATATTCAAACCCACCGGACTGACCGTGGCCCACTGTCTGCCTTCCATATCACCACAACTGGTGTACCTGTAATCCCCTGACTGGCCTGAATGGACCTGCAGTACTGGCCCAGTCACTGGACTGCAAGCACACTGACACTGAACTCTGGTCAGACTAAGCACCAGACTGACCATTACTAACCCCTTGGACTGAGTTTTGCAGCATTCCCTAATTGACCTTATTCTTACTTCATTTAAGTCAGGGCTGATCCCTTTTGATGTTAGGATATGGCCATTTGGCCGGTATCCAGGCAGTGTATTTGCCATGTTAGCTGCTGGTACAAGCTGTAGTTATGACATCACAGTGTCATACAGAAGTATCTCCACCGCATTGACTGTTCAGTGCTCCATCAGTAACAACATTTCGCCTGTCCGTCTGTCCTACACCACAATGCAAGTGAGAGAGGCTGGTAGCCTCCAAGCCAGCACGAAGTGAGTGATTGCTAAGAGATTAAAAGCCACAAGATGTATCCTGTGTAGATGCATGAGATGCAGTTGTGTCCCTCTGGTCAAAGCAACTTGGCAGAAACATGTCAGTCATACATGTTCAGGAGCACAAAGTGAAGTCCTCAGGGCTGAAGTTGTAGGTAAGTTGATCTGAAAGTAGCCTTGACAATGTAGTGGGACTGGTGATTCGGCAATGCCCTGTTGTGTCAAGGGAGGTTGAAAGAGGGTGGTATCTATGGAGCAGGCAAGGAAATGAGAGCGACTGTGGCATTCAGTGAAGGCAGAGAGAATAATGCAGCAAGCTGTGGTGCTAGACTACCACTCAGGCTTTCACATCGGGAATTTCGCAGCATCTAATATCTCTGGGAATGAGAGTAGAATTAAGAGCTATATAGAAATGAGGTATGATTAGCTTGATGTAGATACAATTGCGTGGACATAGGGTGTCGGTCTCCATTAGCAAGATTCAGAATTTGCCTTTTAAACTTTATGGGGAAGATCAGAAATGTTTTCTCGATATTGGGAAGCTGATGTTTTTCATTCTTACCATGTTCTCCCAACTT